ATCAAGTTCTGACATTTTTGCTTCTCCAAACCTCCCATCTTGTTTTCGCTGACTCCCCCACCCCCAGCTCCTTTTAAACCTAGGCCTCAGTTTCAGAGGGTGGAGGAAGGGACCTGATAATCCCCCTTGTCCCCAGCTCCCCTGTGCACTCTCCTGGATGGTGCCCACACCCCTGTCCATGAGCCCAGGTCAGTTGCTGACAGATGGTGAGGCCTCCACGAACTTAGACTCTTGTTCTGGTCTCCATCTGTTTTGAACATCCTCTCTCTCTGGCCACATCCTACTTACCTGGCAGGTTTCCTTCTCCTCCCTCACAGAAGCCCTCAGTCAGACTCCCTAGGGGTCCCCAAACACTGATTTTTGGCTTTGCCTGTGTAGTTTGGTTCCACCCTCCTGTGATAGTCAAAAGCCAACTCATCTCTCAAGACTTAATTCAAGCACCATCTCCAGGAAGCCTCTCTGGTCACTTCAGTTCCACTGACCGCTGCATTCCTCAATCCCACTGCATGTACAGTTCAGAGCACCCCAGTTCCACTTCTCATTATTGTTGGTTCAGCTGTTCTCAGACTGTCTGTGGGCATAGACTGTGCCTTTTATTTCCTTCTCTCTCTGCCAGCCCAGGAACCCAGACTGATGACTGACTGATCGAAATGGGCAAATTATAGGGAAGAGAGTTGGGGCAGGCAAAGTGCTGAGCAGGCCAGGACCTTTCTCTTCTTGAGCTTAAATACCCAGCTTTGGGACTATGCTCACATGATGGCCATGCTGTGTTTTGCCCACTCTATGGCAAACATATGGGGTACTCAGTTGCATGGAACCATTTGCATTTCTTGCTTCCCACATGGAGAGAGCCAAGTGGTTGTTCAGAGTCAGAAACCATTGGAACAGGAGTGAATTGGGGGTTGTAGCTCCTGCTCCTTCTCTGATGTGGGAATCAACTACTAAACTGCCAACCCATTTCAGGGACGAGGAGCTCTGTCTTCTCAAGGCAAACCATTGCCTCTCACACTTAGACGCACGGGAGTGTCACCTTTATTCAGAGTGCAAAGGTGACGGTGGGGCAAGGTACTGGTTTTCCTGTCACTGGCATTTATAATTTTTTCCCATGCTTCCTCTCCATGGTATGTGGTCTCTCCTTCCATAGAAGTCAAGAAGGGGAGATTTGATAGAGATTATCACTAAGGTTCCTTACAATGTGGATTTCTGTTCCAACTGTGGTAAGTATCTTTGTCACAGTGAGTCAGGAATCTCAAATCTCTAGTTGCAAATGACAAAAATCCCTATTATTTATATCTCTAGGTGTCCTCAGTTTTCTGGTATTTTTGTCAATGAAGTGTCAATGTCTGGCAGACACAATCAACATTCTCATAGCCATGCAACTCCTGTTTTCCACTGATAGAACCAATGTGACCAGCCTTCAGGGGGTGAATCATAATTGACCATGATGGCTCTCTGTGTCAGGGTGCTCAAGAACACTTCCAGGTCTGGTGATTTGCTATGGAGATTCATAGGCCTCAGCATGTCATCCTCATGACTAATTTTATTACAGTGAAAAGATACATTCAAAGCAAAGTCAGCAAAGGGGAAAGTGCATGGAGCAAAACCCAGAGGAAACCAGGCATAAGCCTCTAAAAGTTCCCTCTAGGGTTGGGGAGGACTGGCAGGTGGCATGGTGGTTAAGAGTGCTAGACTCCCACATGGCCAACTGTGGTTTGAGTCCCAGACCTATCGGCTTTCTCTCTCTCTCTCTCTCTCTGTCCCTCTCTGGTCAAATTAAAAAAAATAAATAAGTAAAGTTAAATAGAGTAATTCTTAAAAAAAAAAAAAAAAAGAGGGCAAGCTCTCTTTAAAAAAATTAAAAATAAAAGTTCCCTCTGGGTGGAGTTACACAGGACATGCTTAATTCCTCCAGTCAGTTGTGAAATGTTACCCGTCAGTGACGTTCATTAGGGACTCAGTGCCCAGGGTTTCTACCAGGAGCTGGTCACACTGTGCATACCAATGTCCCAGACTCTCGGGAGGAAAGTAGGTGTCCAGCATAATCCATATTGTTTATACACACAATGTCAGCACGGTGCAATACCATGCACTCAGTGTCTTAAAGAGCTGGCATGTATTTTCTTATAGTTCTAGAGGCTAGAGGTACTGGTAGGTTTGATTTCTTCTAAGACTTCTCTTTTTGACTTGCAGGTCACTGATCAGTTCTGGGAATGGTGAGATTCCTGAAATCCAACTTCCTAGATAGTTACCAAAGGTCAACCTTATAAGCAGGCCTTTCTAAGGATAGCAGTCTTGGCTTGCAATTTTAACTCTCCCTAATATACAACCCATTTTTTCTTGTCTGATACCTGTTTTCTCAATCTCTTGTGCAGCTATGAGTGGCCACATGATTCAGTTCTGGCCAATAAATTGCAAAGGGAGAGTATTCTCATAACAGCAGTCCTATTGTACGAGAACGAAACCCCAATACATGAAAGGTAACTAATGGGAAGGGGACAAGAAACTAGGTCCTTGGTGATAACTTCAAGTCAATGCACCATACATCATGACTCTTCCAATGACCCAATATAATGACAGAGATGAGGCATAATAAAGGTAAGAAGTAAATGGAGATAGAATAACTGGTGACCACAGGTGATGGACAAAGGAGAGGAGAGGGAGGCCCTCAGGAGAGGTTCTAGAGAACAGACAAGGGCAGAGAGGAGAAAACGACCGTATTCCTGGGCTGTGTGTAAGCCAGATTCCTCTATGTCACTGGGGCTTGGAGAGATCACCGCAGATTTTTCCAGAGGCCAGGCTCTCAGGTGACAATGAAGTGAAAGTAGTAGCTGCCATGTGGCCTCTGACTCATTACTAAGGAAGACAGTCAATTTTACATGAGATGCCTGAGGTGTGACCTTCCAGTCAGACTTGATTTGAACCGACTGATTTGGGGCTCTTGGAAGGATAATTTGTGGTCCAAGACTATTAGCTAAGGTGTGAGTGAGTCAGAGTAGTCCCAAACCCAATGCAGATTAATTCAAGTCAAAAAGAGGACTATATTGACTTGTCTAATTGGAAAGTCCAGTCATAATTGGATGGAGGGGAGCGTCAGGGTTAATGCTCTTCCTCTTTCTCTCTGTTCATCTTGTTTTTATGTGGCTTCCTTCCTTGACAGGCTCTCTTTTCATGTTTGTTGCGAAAGCTGCTGGAATCCTGCCCAATGTGCATAAAACAAATCCAATCATGAGTAGTGGTGATTAGTAACCTAAATCAAGGAACATTCTGCAAAATAACTGACCTATATTTTTAAAAAATGTCACTATCATGAAAGACAAAGAAAATCAGATGAGACTAAGATATGAAAGCTAAATGCAATGTACCATCCTGGACCCTAGATTAGCAGAGAGATAGGGGGAGAGAGAAGGAGAATGATAATAAAAAAAGCAAAATGTTCCTGTAGGCTAAAGTTATACTAAGTTCATTGTACAAGTCTTGCTACTTTTCCATAAGTTTGAATTTTTTTTCTGAATTTAGATTAAAGAAAACATTTGTTTGGAGAAATTCCTGCTATCGGATTCACATACTTGCCAGAGAAACAGAGAGACAGAAAGCGAGAAATCATTCCCCGTCCCCGGGGGGGGATGGCCACACAGCAATCCATTCTCCTCCATTCTCCTCTCTGGATTTTGGGCATGTACACACATGTACCCAGTATGATTCTGAAGCCACTGGGTCAAGAACTCGAACCATAGTAAGCCATGTGGGAGTCCAGCAACATACCCACTATGCCATCTGCTGGCTCCTAAATTTAAAACTTATTTAAAAAGGAGCTGACTGCTATCTCTCAATATCTATGTATAAATATCATGCAAGAGTCTAATTGATTAAACTAGAGTACATGTTCTTTCATTGAGAGGAGGGGTTAGACACTGATCGACAGCTTTACCAAGGACCATGTGAAATGGGGAGGAATTGCCCCAGTGTCCAAAGGGAGGAGCATAGGAGAGTATGCTGGTCACCTAGAATGAACACCAATGCACCTATCACAACCTCTGCCTCTCTTCTTTCTTTTCATAGCTCCTGTCTCCGAGGACCTCCTCTGCAGGTCACTGCCATCCACATGCTGCCTGGTCCTGTCTTCCCAGGCTATCCCTTTCTTCAAAATGGCAGCAGAGGCAGACACCTCTTAACAAATAACTCTACCCTTGGGCCTTTGGTGACTCCTCGCTCCTCCCAACATACTCACCTGGACCCCATTAGTCTTGGTCCCAACCTCCCTTAGGAATCTGTGTTTATGTAAAAAGTACTGCCAAGAGTTACCTGTGTGCCGTTACCAGTAGCTTATAGAGTCACATTTCAACTCGGTTAAGCCAGGGAAGGGAAGCCAATGGCAGGGGCCGACCAAGAAGCATGTTTCTTCTGTTGTTCCTTCTGAGGAAGGCCAGGGCACCTTTTCTTGTTCTCTCTTCTCTTCTTCCCTCTTCTTTCTTCCCAGCCTAATATGGCAGCCCAACCTGGCAGGTGGAGGTGTATGGGAGCTTGTCAGAGCTAAGAGTGATGGGTTTTTAGGAGACTGAGATACAAACAGTTAGAATCTGGAGATGACATTTCTACTCTCTCCTTTAATTTTGGGGGGGACTAAAAAATACCTGGGAAGAAGGTATTTTGTTATAATTAATTCATTTAAAATATGTCTAGAGACACAGTTCTTAGCATGGGAAACCCAGTCCAACCTAAACCCTGGGCACGGTGGAGTGCACCTGTCATCTCAGTGATGTGGTAGACTGAGGCAGGAAGAGCATGACATAGTGAGGCTCTGTCTTAAAAAAAGAAAGGAGAAGAAGGACAAGAAGAGGAGGAAGTGCTTGGTGTCCTCAGGGGTGGTTGTGCAGCACAGTTAGCACAGCAAGAGCACTGTCAGCTTTGGAAGGAGGAGGGGAGGCTTTGCCAGCCTTGGAAATGCTCATTTGGTCTGGCCTCCAGGGCAGCCTTCCTGCCTGCCTCTCTGCTCATGCTCAGCCTCTGCGCTGGACTTGCAGCTCCCTTCCAGTGGGCCTCAGCCCTGAGGGCTCTGGGAACAGACTCTAGGGAAGGATGAACATTAGAGGGAGCAGCCAGCAGCAGGAAGATACATGACTCACTGACTGAATCCATTTGTGCTGAAAGGGCCTTAAGAGGATCAGTGTTACCTCTTTCATTTATGGAGGAGGAAATGAGGCCCAGAGAGGGTGAAGGCTTACCTGAGGCCACACAGTGAGTTAATGTCAGGGTTGGAGCTGGAACCCAGGTTTCTGATCCTTAGACTTGGGGGTCTGCCACTGCTCCAGGACACCCCTTTCTACTCGCTAGGATGATTTCTTGTCTCCTTTTTTTTTTTTTTTTTTTTTCCCAGAAGACTCTGGATGTAGTTGGCTGGCCCTGAACTTGGTCCATAGTCCCAGGATGCAGATTTTACCCCTGGAAGTCCAACGGTGATCTGGAGAAATGACAAGAACGTCCTGCTCAGCACAGCCGAGGCCAGATGGGATGTCTTTAACAATCTGTGAGTTTCAAGCCAATGGGGTTGGTCAGGTGGTTGTGAGGAGAGCCACACAGCAACAACCTCATATCTGACAGGCTGGGGCCATGATGGGAGTTGTGCCAGTATGAAGACCCTCAAGGGTGTGTGTGGGGGACGGGATGTTAGCATAAGTAGATGTGAACTATGTGTGTGTGCGCAGTCATTAGAAAGAGTTAGATCCATATGTATGAGTTAAGAACTACCCAATATCCTCAGTGTTAAATTAAAGATGTAAGAGGCTAAGAAGTAAATTTAGCAGTAACTCTATTTTTCGGACCTAAAAATTCTTCATGAATGTTTACAAATATTTGCTTCAGGGCAGAGAAAGATACAAAAGGATATACTCCCAACTGCTAACACTGATTTACATCAAGGCATTGAGGTTATTACTTTAAAATCCTATCTTTCTAATATCTGGCCTATTAGAAAGAGTCTGAGACCATCATAACTTATGAAAAAACATGAATAAAGGAGAAAAGAAAGTCTATAATTTTGTGTGATTAAGACCCTGTTGCTGTGTGTAGACATGTACACACATGTCTGAGTATTTGAGCGTGTTGTTCCTGAGTATGTCTTAGAGAAAGTGTCTTCAGAGAGAGCAATACTTACTGTGCGAGCCCCAGACACTGGTCACATTGTCCAATCCTCGCACTCTGGAAAGAAAGCTCAAGGCTGTGGTACTACCTGAAAGTTTTGATGTAAACCACCAGGGCTCCTAGCTTAACCAAATGGCCTTTGATACATTACAAGCAGGAGAGGCTGGAGGAGAGACCGCTCCTTTGCCACCAGGACCACTGGCAGTTTAGAGTGCCCTTTGGGGAAATCCACATCCCTTTGCATGGTGTTTGCAGTGCAGCTCTGGTGTGCACAGTGCTGTGTGAGGGAGGAAATGGTTCTTCTGGGAGCTGACTGCATAGGGGGAGGGCTCGAAATCCCTGCCTCTTCAGGTCAGATGCCTTCTACAGGCAGAATCAGTTTTTTCCCCCCCTCTCTCTTATTTGCAAAAGCCAGGATTTCCCAGGCACCAGGAATTATTAATTGACTTAATTAAGGCTCATGGCAGTAGCTAAGGCTGGTTTCCCTGCTGACCTGGGCTTTAAAATTCCCCTCCACAGCTGCAAGGGCCTGTTCTTACCAACTGAGGGGGTAGAATGACTTTTTCCTAATGTTGGACGAGGTACTGTGTGTGTATGTATGCATGTGGACATGCTCATGTAAACATGTGCGCACACACATATGCAAGAAAAGAAAGCCCCGTCCCCTAGAGGAGACACCACAGAGCTGACAAAGGGTGGTGGTGGATGCACCTGGCCACAGGCCTGAGCACACGCTCCTTCTGTAATAGAAGCTAGTGGGTCGTCGGGGAAGTCATGATGCATTTTTGCATGGAAAAGCAGAAGCAATATGTCACGACTTTCCCGACGACCTGATATTACTCATGATGTGTTTTTTAACGCGAAACTGCGTCATGACTTTCCAGACGACCCAATAGATGCTTTACTGAGCTGGTGTCCTTCCTGCTGTAAATGCTACTGTGTTCCCTCTCCTCCCAAATTGGTTGGCAGCAGCTTGGTGATTTGGGGAGCAAAAAGGTCTTCCCTGTGGGCCCTGGAGCCTTCCCATTAGATAGGTGTCTGGGGATGAGGCAGCTGGAGTCAGGCTGGTGGGAGCAACAGAGGTGTTCTGGAATCTTCCTGAAGTTGCCTGGGCCCAGTGAGAGGGTGTGTCTGTCCTCCAAGAACTAGGGACACAGTGACTGGGACCTATGACTGTTTCCTCCCATAATCCATACTATGGATTATTGATTAGAAGGGGCTGAGGAGGAAAATATGAGGGAGGAAGAGGAATGGGTGGGAGGGAAGAAAGAAGAGGAGAAAGAGACACCCTCTCATAGAAATTTCCAAAAAGCCAGGAGGGACCTTGCCAAGCCCTTCCTAACCACCCCACATAGCATCAGTGTGAGGCTTCATGGGGAAGAGGAGCACCTGGGTGTGACCTCAGCCTGGGGACATTCTGGTCTCCCAGGCAGAAGGCCCTGAAGCCAGGCCTCCCGGCCTCTGTGTCTATAATCTGTGCTTAATCAAGTTCTGACATTTTTGCTTCTCCAAACCTCCCATCTTGTTTTCGCTGACTCCCCCACCCCCAGCTCCTTTTAAACCTAGGCCTCAGTTTCAGAGGGTGGAGGAAGGGACCTGATAATCCCCCTTGTCCCCAGCTCCCCTGTGCACTCTCCTGGATGGTGCCCACACCCCTGTCCATGAGCCCAGGTCAGTTGCTGACAGATGGTGAGGCCTCCACGAACTTAGACTCTTGTTCTGGTCTCCATCTGTTTTGAACATCCTCTCTCTCTGGCCACATCCTACTTACCTGGCAGGTTTCCTTCTCCTCCCTCACAGAAGCCCTCAGTCAGACTCCCTAGGGGTCCCCAAACACTGATTTTTGGCTTTGCCTGTGTAGTTTGGTTCCACCCTCCTGTGATAGTCAAAAGCCAACTCATCTCTCAAGACTTAATTCAAGCACCATCTCCAGGAAGCCTCTCTGGTCACTTCAGTTCCACTGACCGCTGCATTCCTCAATCCCACTGCATGTACAGTTCAGAGCACCCCAGTTCCACTTCTCATTATTGTTGGTTCAGCTGTTCTCAGACTGTCTGTGGGCATAGACTGTGCCTTTTATTTCCTTCTCTCTCTGCCAGCCCAGGAACCCAGACTGATGACTGACTGATCGAAATGGGCAAATTATAGGGAAGAGAGTTGGGGCAGGCAAAGTGCTGAGCAGGCCAGGACCTTTCTCTTCTTGAGCTTAAATACCCAGCTTTGGGACTATGCTCACATGATGGCCATGCTGTGTTTTGCCCACTCTATGGCAAACATATGGGGTACTCAGTTGCATGGAACCATTTGCATTTCTTGCTTCCCACATGGAGAGAGCCAAGTGGTTGTTCAGAGTCAGAAACCATTGGAACAGGAGTGAATTGGGGGTTGTAGCTCCTGCTCCTTCTCTGATGTGGGAATCAACTACTAAACTGCCAACCCATTTCAGGGACGAGGAGCTCTGTCTTCTCAAGGCAAACCATTGCCTCTCACACTTAGACGCACGGGAGTGTCACCTTTATTCAGAGTGCAAAGGTGACGGTGGGGCAAGGTACTGGTTTTCCTGTCACTGGCATTTATAATTTTTTCCCATGCTTCCTCTCCATGGTATGTGGTCTCTCCTTCCATAGAAGTCAAGAAGGGGAGATTTGATAGAGATTATCACTAAGGTTCCTTACAATGTGGATTTCTGTTCCAACTGTGGTAAGTATCTTTGTCACAGTGAGTCAGGAATCTCAAATCTCTAGTTGCAAATGACAAAAATCCCTATTATTTATATCTCTAGGTGTCCTCAGTTTTCTGGTATTTTTGTCAATGAAGTGTCAATGTCTGGCAGACACAATCAACATTCTCATAGCCATGCAACTCCTGTTTTCCACTGATAGAACCAATGTGACCAGCCTTCAGGGGGTGAATCATAATTGACCATGATGGCTCTCTGTGTCAGGGTGCTCAAGAACACTTCCAGGTCTGGTGATTTGCTATGGAGATTCATAGGCCTCAGCATGTCATCCTCATGACTAATTTTATTACAGTGAAAAGATACATTCAAAGCAAAGTCAGCAAAGGGGAAAGTGCATGGAGCAAAACCCAGAGGAAACCAGGCATAAGCCTCTAAAAGTTCCCTCTAGGGTTGGGGAGGACTGGCAGGTGGCATGGTGGTTAAGAGTGCTAGACTCCCACATGGCCAACTGTGGTTTGAGTCCCAGACCTATCGGCTTTCTCTCTCTCTCTCTCTCTCTGTCCCTCTCTGGTCAAATTAAAAAAAATAAATAAGTAAAGTTAAATAGAGTAATTCTTAAAAAAAAAAAAAAAAAGAGGGCAAGCTCTCTTTAAAAAAATTAAAAATAAAAGTTCCCTCTGGGTGGAGTTACACAGGACATGCTTAATTCCTCCAGTCAGTTGTGAAATGTTACCCGTCAGTGACGTTCATTAGGGACTCAGTGCCCAGGGTTTCTACCAGGAGCTGGTCACACTGTGCATACCAATGTCCCAGACTCTCGGGAGGAAAGTAGGTGTCCAGCATAATCCATATTGTTTATACACACAATGTCAGCACGGTGCAATACCATGCACTCAGTGTCTTAAAGAGCTGGCATGTATTTTCTTATAGTTCTAGAGGCTAGAGGTACTGGTAGGTTTGATTTCTTCTAAGACTTCTCTTTTTGACTTGCAGGTCACTGATCAGTTCTGGGAATGGTGAGATTCCTGAAATCCAACTTCCTAGATAGTTACCAAAGGTCAACCTTATAAGCAGGCCTTTCTAAGGATAGCAGTCTTGGCTTGCAATTTTAACTCTCCCTAATATACAACCCATTTTTTCTTGTCTGATACCTGTTTTCTCAATCTCTTGTGCAGCTATGAGTGGCCACATGATTCAGTTCTGGCCAATAAATTGCAAAGGGAGAGTATTCTCATAACAGCAGTCCTATTGTACGAGAACGAAACCCCAATACATGAAAGGTAACTAATGGGAAGGGGACAAGAAACTAGGTCCTTGGTGATAACTTCAAGTCAATGCACCATACATCATGACTCTTCCAATGACCCAATATAATGACAGAGATGAGGCATAATAAAGGTAAGAAGTAAATGGAGATAGAATAACTGGTGACCACAGGTGATGGACAAAGGAGAGGAGAGGGAGGCCCTCAGGAGAGGTTCTAGAGAACAGACAAGGGCAGAGAGGAGAAAACGACCGTATTCCTGGGCTGTGTGTAAGCCAGATTCCTCTATGTCACTGGGGCTTGGAGAGATCACCGCAGATTTTTCCAGAGGCCAGGCTCTCAGGTGACAATGAAGTGAAAGTAGTAGCTGCCATGTGGCCTCTGACTCATTACTAAGGAAGACAGTCAATTTTACATGAGATGCCTGAGGTGTGACCTTCCAGTCAGACTTGATTTGAACCGACTGATTTGGGGCTCTTGGAAGGATAATTTGTGGTCCAAGACTATTAGCTAAGGTGTGAGTGAGTCAGAGTAGTCCCAAACCCAATGCAGATTAATTCAAGTCAAAAAGAGGACTATATTGACTTGTCTAATTGGAAAGTCCAGTCATAATTGGATGGAGGGGAGCGTCAGGGTTAATGCTCTTCCTCTTTCTCTCTGTTCATCTTGTTTTTATGTGGCTTCCTTCCTTGACAGGCTCTCTTTTCATGTTTGTTGCGAAAGCTGCTGGAATCCTGCCCAATGTGCATAAAACAAATCCAATCATGAGTAGTGGTGATTAGTAACCTAAATCAAGGAACATTCTGCAAAATAACTGACCTATATTTTTAAAAAATGTCACTATCATGAAAGACAAAGAAAATCAGATGAGACTAAGATATGAAAGCTAAATGCAATGTACCATCCTGGACCCTAGATTAGCAGAGAGATAGGGGGAGAGAGAAGGAGAATGATAATAAAAAAAGCAAAATGTTCCTGTAGGCTAAAGTTATACTAAGTTCATTGTACAAGTCTTGCTACTTTTCCATAAGTTTGAATTTTTTTTCTGAATTTAGATTAAAGAAAACATTTGTTTGGAGAAATTCCTGCTATCGGATTCACATACTTGCCAGAGAAACAGAGAGACAGAAAGCGAGAAATCATTCCCCGTCCCCGGGGGGGGATGGCCACACAGCAATCCATTCTCCTCCATTCTCCTCTCTGGATTTTGGGCATGTACACACATGTACCCAGTATGATTCTGAAGCCACTGGGTCAAGAACTCGAACCATAGTAAGCCATGTGGGAGTCCAGCAACATACCCACTATGCCATCTGCTGGCTCCTAAATTTAAAACTTATTTAAAAAGGAGCTGACTGCTATCTCTCAATATCTATGTATAAATATCATGCAAGAGTCTAATTGATTAAACTAGAGTACATGTTCTTTCATTGAGAGGAGGGGTTAGACACTGATCGACAGCTTTACCAAGGACCATGTGAAATGGGGAGGAATTGCCCCAGTGTCCAAAGGGAGGAGCATAGGAGAGTATGCTGGTCACCTAGAATGAACACCAATGCACCTATCACAACCTCTGCCTCTCTTCTTTCTTTTCATAGCTCCTGTCTCCGAGGACCTCCTCTGCAGGTCACTGCCATCCACATGCTGCCTGGTCCTGTCTTCCCAGGCTATCCCTTTCTTCAAAATGGCAGCAGAGGCAGACACCTCTTAACAAATAACTCTACCCTTGGGCCTTTGGTGACTCCTCGCTCCTCCCAACATACTCACCTGGACCCCATTAGTCTTGGTCCCAACCTCCCTTAGGAATCTGTGTTTATGTAAAAAGTACTGCCAAGAGTTACCTGTGTGCCGTTACCAGTAGCTTATAGAGTCACATTTCAACTCGGTTAAGCCAGGGAAGGGAAGCCAATGGCAGGAGCTGACACAGAAGCATTCAAGAAGATAAGGAATCTGGGACAGGTGGGCTTCTGGCTTCTTTTGCATCCCCTGTGTTCATGGCTTTTTTCTTTATCTCAGGCTAGAGTTTCTGACAGGGAACTGAGTGCTATCCTTCCCAGTTGGAGGAAGCCCGAGTCACCACAAGGAATCAGGCCAACATCACTTCATCTCCTATCATGCAATGTTGACAATTGATTTGTTTCCCACCAGTAAAGCAGAGTTAGCAAAGGGTTTGCTGAAGTTGAATTTGTGCAGTCTTGGCATGGAGACTTCTGCATTCAGACTTCTTGAGAACAAAGCAGGATTCTTGGAGCCCATCTGCTGAGAGCGAAACTAGGAAGACTAAATGAAGAAATGTATCCATCCATTTATTCACTTACAAAAGGTTGAATTGCATAGTGGTTAAAATAGATCTTCAGGAGGCCAATGGGTGGCATAGTGGTTAAGGTGCTGAACCTCCACATGGCTGACTAGGAGTCCTGGACCTGATAGTTTGCTCTCTCACTTTCTCTTTCTCATGTGCGCTCTCTTTCTCTCTCTGGTGAGCACAAATGCCCTGTAGCAAAAAAAAAAAAAGATAAATAAAATTAAATAAATAATTCTTAAAAAGAAAAAAAAAAGACCCTTGGAATAGCACCCTGTGACAGTCGTAGCAGAGAGGCCTTTGCTCTGGGATTGCATTGCCTGGTTTTAAATCTGTCTCCACCTCCAGCTGGTTGACATTGGGCTATATTCTTCATGTCTCTGTGACTCAGTGGCCTCATATGTAAAGTGAAGATAATTCCTGACTCAGAAGATTCTTGTGAGAATTAAATACATTCTCAGTACTCTGGAACACTTAAAATAGCATTGTAATTATTCACTGCATTAAATTAAATTAAGCTTGGTAGAATACTCCCAGGAGAGCATCTGGGTCTGAGGCTTGTGCGTGTGTGTGTGTGTGTGTATGTGTGTGTGTATGTGTGTGTCTTTTTCCTTTTTAATTGCCAGAGGCACCTGCCAGAGATAGACAGAGAGACAGAGAGAGAAGGAGAAAGCACCCCCTAAGGGGCATAGCAATGTCACAACCCTTTTCATCCTGTCAGGATTTGGGGCACACAAGCACATTTGCCCAGTGGGTTTTCAAGCTACTGGGTTCAGAATTTAAATGGTTGGCCATGTGGGATCTGGCTTCCCTTAGACTGGCAGAGGACAGTGAAAAAAATCAACATACAAAACGACCTTTTGTACATGGCAAAGGACCCTGGTGATTTAATAGCATCCTGAGCATTTCGCATCCATGAAGTAGGGATTGGGGCTCTGTACCAGAGCATCTTGCATCTCCTTTTCTGGAGAGGGTTGGATGAGATCTTTCTAAAATTATTATTATTTTTATTTTTAAGAAAGGGATTTTTGCTGAAGGGGGTGTGTGTTCGCTGGAGAGACAGAGAGGGACAAAGAGCAAGAAAGTGAGAAATCACACACACACACACACACACACACACACACACACACACACACCTGGGGGAGGGGATAGTCTGCTACAATCCCTTCTCCTCCTTTCTCTTCTTGGGATTTTGAGCACACATGCACATGTGCTCAGCGTGAGTTCAAGTCGCTGGGTCTGGGACTTGAACCATGGTTGACTACGTGGGGGTCCAGCAATGTAACCATTACACCATCTGCTGGTCCCATGGATTGAATGAGATCTTTTATGCAAGGCATGTTCTTAGGGAGAGGAAAGTCCAATTACTTTTTATTGGTGGTTTTCAAATCAGAATCCAAAGTCCACAAATGGGTTTACTTGATTATTTTACTCAATTTACTTTTATAAAATTTAGTTTTGTTATAGGGTACCTGCACTTGCCAAAGAGACTGAGAGAGAGTGAGGGAAAGTGAGAAATCACCTCCTGGGGTTTGGCCATGCCACAGTCCATTCTCCGGTATTCTCTTGGGATTTGGGGAATGTGCTCACATACGCTCAGTGTGATTTTAAAGCTGCAGAGTCTGAAGCTCGAACTGTACAGTCAGCCATGTGGAATCCAACACCTTAAACTCCATGTCACCTACTGGCTCTCAATTTGCCTTTTTTTTTTTTTTTTGAGAGGTTTTTGCTATAGGGTGCGTGCACTCGCGAGACAGAGAGACATAAAGGGAGAAATCACCCCCCAGGAGGGATGGCCATGCCGCAATCCCTTCTCCATTCTCCTCTTGGGATCTTGGGAATGCACGCACACGCGCCTGGCATGAGTTTTAAGCCACCAACTACGTGGGAGTCCAGCAACATAGCCATTACACTAACTGCTGGTCCCTTGCTTTTTATCTATAACATTTATTTCATTTATCTCTTTTTCCATGAGTCATTTGTCTTATAAAATTCCCTACTGTCTGGATTTGGTTGATTGCTTTCCCATGGAGTTGTTTAATTTATCCCTCTAACTCTTGCATTTCCTGCAAATTGGTCCTTTATATTCAGATTTATATCTATCCACCTATCTATTCATCTACCTACCTATATATATACACACAATTGTATATATATGTGTATATATATGTATATATATGTATATACATATATATACATATATATACAATTTGGCAAAAATATTTCAAAGGTAGTGCTGAGTGGCATAAGAAGGTACACAATGTCAAGATATTTTTAGTTTAGGTGAGAGATCTGTGGGTTCAGGTAGTGCCAACCTGATTACTGCATTTACTGTGCCTTGAAGGCATTCAACTATCGCTCATCGTTGCCTGTGTCCATCATTTAAACCCAAAGTGGGGATTTTTAAAAAAATTATCTCAGTGGAACGTATGTTGAAATCCAAACTAATGATGGTTGTATTTTAAAGTATGATTTACCTTTATTCCTATAACTTAGTTTAATATTCTTCATCTTCTATTTATTTCTAGAATTACTTATTAATTTTTTAATGGGAGCAATAATGAAATAAATGTATTCCTTAAATATATGCTTCTCTCTCTCTTTCATCCCCTAATGTTAGTTGATAATATTATCTCTCTTAGTTTTTAATTTTTGTACTATTAAATGTACTTTATACATTTTAAAATTTGAGTTCTCAGCCTTTAAGGCTATCCTTGACACCACATGCATTAAGCCACCATGCTCTGTCTCCTTTTCTCCTCAGGTTACTGATACAATTTCTACTTTGTTAGAATATATGCTATTTGCTGTCTTTTCTGTCATCTTAATGTTTCTTATTTGTTTATTTGTTTTCCATTCCTTCCCCCCCACATTTTATTGATTCACAAAATTTCTTAAATAATCTAACTACTTTCAATAGCAAGTTCAGCTGGTATATACATATCTGTGAACAAAAGTTGACTTTAGGCATGAAACTCTGTGGGTAGAATGAATATACTATAAAATAGCACATAGCTGAGGCTGTATAGCTTACTGTGGTCACTAAATAGGTATTTTTTAAAATACTTTTTTTTAATTTAAAGAAAGGCTGTTTTAGCTTTAATAAATCAAAATAAAAAAATATTAAGAGAACTTTGCTTAAGACCTAAAGCCAGGAAACAGGTTAGGATTCTGTTTGATTAGTAGGTACATGGACCTGTCCACAACTCAAGAGAAGACAAAACTCCTTAACACTGGAAAACAAAGCATGGAAGATCAGTAATGTTTTAGTCAAAAGTCATAAAATTCGATTTCACCAGTTCAAGCTCATGTACTTTATCTTCTGTTGTGGTCTGATCTTTCTTTTTAAACTCTGGAAGATAACATTCAACTCTGGACTTGTCCCTACCATTAAGCTGGCCATTTTCTTAGTTGTCTTTAGATCTCTTGTTTCTGCGTGTCTAACTTTAGTTTTCCTGGGATAAGCACTCCTTTCAGAACTTCTTGGAGAGCTGGTCTGGTGTTGGCAAATTCTTTCAGATTTTGTTTATTTGACAATGTTCTTGTCTTCTCATCTTAAGGATAATCTTGCTGGATATAGCATTCTTGGTTGAAATTGTTTTTCGCTCAATACTTTGAATATATTTTCCCATTCTTTTCTTGCTTGCATTGTTTCTGATGAGAGGTCTGCTGTTAGCCTGATGGGATATCCTTTGTAGGTAACATGCCGTTTCTCTCTTTCTAGTCTGAATATCTTGTTTTTATCTCTGTTTTTGGTCATTCTGGCTACAATGTGTCTTGGAGAAGATCTTCTTGGGTTGATCCTATTTGGGATCTTTTGCATTTCTTGGGACTGGATCTTTGAATGCCTCTCTAGGTTTGGAAAGTTTTCTTCCAGGATTTCATGGACTAGATTATCAATGCCCTTATTAGTTTCTTCACCTTCTGGGACATCAATTATAGGGATGTTTGGATGTTTGATGGTATATAGTATTTCTGGTGTATTATTTTCATGTTTGGATGTTTGATGGTATATAGTATTTCTGGTATATTATTCTCATTTTTCAGTCTTTGTGGTGGATTTTACTAGTACAGCTATTCTGTCTTCTACATCTGAGATTCAATATACTGTATGATCTAGTCTGCTTTTTTTTTTTTTTTAGAGGTTTTTCACTATAGGGCGCATGTGCTCCCCAGAAAGACAGAGAGACAGAAACGGACATAGAGACAGAAAGCGAGAAATCACCCCCCAGGGGGGATGGTCACGCCGCAATCCCTTCTCCTCCATTCTCCTCTCGGGATCTTGGGCACGCATGCACACGTGCCCGGCGTGAGTTTTAAGCCACCGGGTCCGGGACACGAACCGCGGTCGACTACGTGGGAGTCCAGCGACATAGCCATTACGCTAACTGCTGGTTCCCTAGTCTGCTTTTAATACAAAGGAGATTTTGACTTCCTGTATTATAGCCTTCATCTCCAACAGTTCAATTTGATTCTTTTTTTATAGTGTATATTTAATCTTTTAGATCTTGCAAGAATTTTCTCACCTCCTGGAACTCGTCAGCTTCTTTCTCCTGCCTCTTCTGCAGTTCATTTTCTCTCTTCTCTTCCATCTCTGTTAGCTTTGTCACTATGAATATTCTAAATTCTT